TGTTCACTTTTCTTTTTCTTGCTGGCTTTGTTATCTGTTTCCGATAGTATTTTTCTCCTCAGAAAGAGTTGACCATTGTTCTTCGCTTTGGATTATTGTATACTAAAGTACAGATAGAAGAATTGTATTTCTTATGTTTACTTACATGGCTTAGTGTTAGTTTTAGATGAGTTTATTTCTCAGGATTTCAGTTAAATCGTCTATTTAGCGTAACGATAAGAGCTTTTCTTTGTTATTTTCTCATCAAGTTTCTCATCTAAGTATGTTTAGTTATTTCTAAGACAGAATTGAAAGAAAGTGCATTTGCGTTTTATGGTAATTATTTTCCTGTAAATAAGCCCTTCAGAAATTGAGAAGCTTTTGTTCGTTAGACATTTTTCTTTCATTAGTTCTGTCGTCAGGGTTTTTCGCTAAAGTTGCTTAACAGAAAAGTGCTTCACTCGAATGAATAATTGACGTTTACCTAGTTATACCGACACAGAAATGACATTGCTAAGTTAGATAAATAAACTCTGCTTTCACTGATTTCATTCAGCTTATTATTGATACAGGCTAAGAAAATTTCATTTCATTCTCGATCAAAAACAAAACAAGCAAGTACTTAAATGGAAAGGATATTATTCTGTGACGGGATTCAATATATAATATTTATCTTCAATATTAATGCTTAAATGAATAAACAAAACCCTGACAAAGCAACAAAATGGGCAAAGTAAAAAATACACCAACAATTGAAATGGTGGCTGCATCCATCTATTTTTTAACTTATGAGATAAGCAAGCAAATGAAACTTTTTGACGATGTCACGCAATATCAAAAACTTTTCGTATTTTTCAAATAAGCAAAACACTTCCATATATCAATTTATCATGCCTGGGGCCCGTTTCTCGAAAGCCCCGGCAACTTTTCGGGGCCGCAAAGCCATTTCTTTCTGAATAAATAACCGGAAAAGCGTGACATCGTCATAAAGGTCTATTCAGCTGATAACCACCTGCGCTGCATTCTCGTTCCCAGACCCTTCTGTTTCTCATTTAAAAAAAAAAAACGAGTGACTCTGGGGGAGAGTATGCGACCTGATCCAAGCACCGTTTATTAGAGACCCTTTTGTCTGTCCACAGCTTGAGTCCGTCAAGATCGCAACCAAGAGTATTAACTGCATGGGATTTGGAAAAGCCCGAACTCAAGGGGGTGGCCCAGGAGAATAAGTCGTAAAAAAATAATAAACGACTGTGGACAGACCAGTGTCGCTGATATGCAGTTAATTTCGAGCCAAGCCGAACTGACCTAAAACAGATTGACCATGGCCAACAAGAAGCATACGAACTAAGGAACTTTGGAGGGGTTANGGGGGGGGGGAGAGATGGTAATATATTAGTATTTTGGGGTTTTGGGAGGGGAGGAGCACATGCCTCGTTTTTTCATAGTCCCCAAGGGCCTCCTCAATGGCCTTTTGGGTTATTCACGTTATCAGGTAAAACCACTGAATTAATCAGCCTATTTGCTAAAGCACTGAGAAAAGGTGAATATTTATCTGGGTGATGCTCTAAAGGAACTCTAGACACGTCAATTTTGTTCTGTACTTAGTCATCAGGAAAATCAACAATTTTTGGGATACTCCACACAGATGTAGGGAACACTCTCCTGTAAACTGTTTCACTGTGTTTAATCTTCTGCCAGACTTCCACTTATAGACTCACAAATACTCAAAATATCTCCCACTTGGAAAGAATTACAGCACGAATGTTCAATAATCAACAACCTGCTCAGTTAACTGTCTTTCATAAATCATACAGAGTCCTACATTAATTTTCTGACAAGAAAAAAAAGCCTTCCTACACTCCAGCATAGTTAGCAGAGGGGAATGGTTATGGAGCCAGCAAACATCAAAGGAGAAAACAAAGACGCCAAGATTGAAGTTGGAAGGTCCATGACCGTGCACAATCTTTGGTTTTCGCTCATATTCTATGCATGAATTGCATAATGAAAGGTTTCTATTAGTTTGTTCCTTCGTCAGAAGTAAACAGCTATTGTGTTCTGTGCAAGGTCAAGGCCAAAAAAGCAAACAAAAACATACAAAACATATTTTGTCATTCCCCTTTATTAACTATGGCTCCAGTGGAGAGGTCCTTACAGTAATGATCCCAAAATTCTAACGTTAATTTTCTTGTTTTGCTCTACGTTATTTCAGCCAGGATGACACAGGCTGCTTGTGCAATGGGCTTTTACAGGAACCAGACATGATCAACAAAACAGCCTGTGGACTCAACTTAGTTCTCAAACATGGCAACATGCAGATCATCCAGGCTTTGGAACATCCACGGGGATTTCTTCATCAATGTTTTTTACAGTGCAACTACTCAAACCAGGCCACCTAAAACAAAACTAACTAACCAGAACGTAAACTGAGAACAATGGACTGATAGCTTCTCGCGACGGCAACTAACGGTCTGTTTGGCGTGGAAACATAAACACTATCGACTCCTTAACGTTACATACACTCTTAGAGATTCATTCCTTGACGGCAAATTATCGAAATTATAAACCTCACTCGACAAATTTAGCTTGAGAACTCATTTTGCGACAACTAAATCGAAACCATTGAAAAGCGTACAAAATTTAGGATCGAAGCTAACCAATCAGCAAAGTTTGCTGAGAGGTTCACAACTCCTCGCAACCTGTGTTGGGTTTTCAACTTTGTTAAGATCTATTTTTCGTATTCTTCAATGTTATTGGTTTATTTGAGAAAAGGATCGCTATCCTTTGTTCTCAAGTAACGTTCTGATTGGTTAACTCTTTCCCAGGTGGCGCGGTTCGAGTAGTCGCACTGTAATGATAGCTTTAACCTTGTCACCGTGACCGGGCTGAGATCATTTCCAGGTGTCGTAGGGCGTGTGCTTTTTCAATGTAGCATTTATTTCAGCTTGAGTCCATCCAGAGGATCTCCTGGACTTGCCCATCTTCAGGTGAGAAAAAGAAATAAAGGAAAATGAAGACCAAATTATTAATTTAAAATAACAACATTGTATATTTTTATTACAGTACTGATTGGACTGGCAAGTCTGGACTGGCAACAAATAAATGATGTAAAATCTCCACTAGCTCAGAAGCCAGAGGCCAGGGAACAGAGATCAGGATATTAACTGGATAAAGATGCAATACCTGCCGTCAGATCAATGTTTCTGTTTTATTGATACATTTTGATCTAAATATGAGAGGCGCGGTGGCCTCATGGTTAGTACACTCGACTCCGGAGCAAGTGGTCCGGGTTCGAGCCCTGACCGGGGACTTTATGTTGTGTTCTTGAGCAAGACAGTGCCTCTCTCCACCCAGGTGTATAAATGGGTACTGGCTAATTTAATGCTGGGGGTAACCCTGTGATGGACTAGCATCCCATCCAGGGGGGGTAGAAATACTCCCAGTCCCTTCATGCTACTGAAACCGGGATAAGCTTCAGGTTGATGAGCCAGTTGGCTTGTATGCAGACTTTTTTTATGATTACCTAAGCATTTTTAAAAAAAACAAGTTGTACTACCGAAAAAAAAACAGGGGTCATGTTACATTCCTACTTCCTCATAATGGCCACCTCTCTACAATGCCACTTTCCTCTGTCCCCAAGGTGGCGGTTGTGGAGAAGTTTAATTGTACCCTTCTCAGTAGGCTGCAACACCCTTGATTGTTTTTTTTTCCCCTCAATTTTCAGAGTTACATTTTTGATGCCACGAGTTTGTTTCAAACCAGTAAGTGTGTAGCAAATGTACCAGGTGATTGGTTTGACACAAACTTGCAGCATCAAAAAGGTTACTCTGAAGGCAGCGAAAATTTTTGCGGGTGTCATGGTCTACTGAGATGAGTAGCTGAGTTTTACCCAGCCATCAGAAAGGGCCTACAGAGTAGTGTACTGAAGAGGTTGACTCATGGTTAACCCAAAAGATCACAACATTAAACAATCTGAAAGCCACTGTTTGACAGACATAGAATAAGTCATAGATTGAATTCAGAAGTTCACAAAACAAAACAAAAAATTACAAACAATGATTTAAAGTACATTATTCCTTTGGTGCCACCAGAAACTACGCCTTATTTAAAAAAAAACAATAGCGCAATTTACTGTTTTTTGTGTTAAAAATTTGGAATGAAAAGTGTGGGAAAAACTACAAAGTTGTAGGGGTGGTTAATCAGGTTTCAAATGGAAGCAAGCATTAAGATTATTATTTTATGCTTTCACTGTATGGACATCTCCAAGACTTTTTGGTGTCTAAAGTTCATTCATATTGCCCAAATATTTAGGGCATGGCATCTTGTGCCATTTTGGCATTTTTGAAAGTGATAGGGATCAAGCAACCATGGATCAACTTTTCATAAGATAGGTTGCTCCAACACCATTGGGTGCAGGGCCTCAAAGACAAGTACAATGTAACAAAATCTTGGTCTTGATTTATACTTTTACAGCATTCTTGACAGGGAAAGTATTTGGGCCATCATGTTGTTGACACGAAGCTGTCACCTCTAACAGTGAGAATGTCCAGTGCTCAACACTTCACATCTTTTGGATACTAGTCAGTGGGCTAGTAAACAAAATAGATCACCAGTCCACAAGGACAACCCACTAGCCCAAAACAAGGCCAGAAAAAAATACACTTAGGGAATAAGAGGAGTGGTGTCCCCCCACTCCCACCTGTGTGACACCTGAAAAGACTAATATCAATCGAACAATACCCCTACAATAACAAGAGGCTCCAAATAGC